GACTTTCCACGTGAAGCGAGATCCACTCCACACCACTGACATAGGGTGGGTAGGGTTATTTTTAACGAAGTGGAGCCCCCCCGAAGGGGCTGTCTTCACGCATACATTTTTCCATCTACATTTGGTGGAGGGGAGTGACTTATATGTAGGTAGAAAAATGTATGCGTGGAGACAGTATGTTCCGCCCCCCCTTCGGGGGGGCTTCACCTCGTTAAAAATAACCCTACCCATCCTATGTCAGAGGTGTGGAGTGGATCTCGCTTCACGTGGAAAGTTGCAAACCCATGTGAAACAGTACAACGGCAGAAGTACATGCGTGGAGACAGTATGTTCCGCATGACAGATTTTCTAACACTAAAAGTTGTCAACTTTAACAATTAATATCTCGCTTCGCAGGGCAGAGCGACGATTTTGTCTCAGGAAAAAGTTGTTCCTCGTTGAAAAACGCGTCGACTAAGACCAATTTGATTGATTTTGGAGGTGGAGCAGCTATACTGAAGAAGAAAGAAGGAAAACCATATATTTATTATTTGTATCCTTTCTCAGCCTGTATCTCCGAAACTATTTGAGTCCGGCCCTTATATATATATATGAAATGACTCGGGAAGACATCCCCAACAACATATTTAAAAATAAAGCAAATCGGGGAGGAGGCCCCTTTTATGCATAATTACCGTTTGATTTTTTAAGAAATATAACAATTTTTAATCAAAAACTAATACTAAAGCAACTAGTTTGTATAAATATCCGTTGTTATATTTGGCGCAATTTGTTGATATCATTACTTTTGTAGAGAAGATAATTTTGTAGAGAAGATATTTTTGTAGAGAATATACTTTTGCAAAGAAGATAGAGCAACAAAATATATTCGGTTGAATTGGAGCTTATACTTGGTGCTTTTTTTTACCTTTTTTTAAAAAGGTAAGTTTTTTATGTATGTATCTACAAGGACATATCGATTGGTTGAAAATTCACTGAACTACATTCCACGGCGCTCAAAATTTTGCGTTTTGAGAAAAACGCGTTTAAAGTTTACGGTAGAGAAAAGTAGTGTAGGGGATTTACGGCTAATGTAAGCTTAGTCTGCGATGCCAGGGCCGTATAATAAGCCTTCCTCCTCTGCAAACTCATCCATTTTAGCCGCTAGTTCCTGTTTTTTTAGCTGTCCTGACCTTTTTTGATGTGCTTTGGGTGCGGCGGTTCTGCCTGTCCACGCGGTGTTTGTCGCATTCGTCAGCGAATTGTTTGCAATGCAGACCGATTTGCAGTTACATATCATTCATAACTTCTAACGTGAATGTATAGCCATCGTTGAACATGCCTCCGGCCAAATAAGCGGCAATTTGTATAATTTTCGAGCCGCAGTTTAGATGCTTGGGGGTCAAGCGCCATACGGTTGGCTTGTGGACGTTACTTTTTCAAAAACAGCCGTTGCACAAGCACAAATTGGTTTCTCTCGTCAGTAGTGCCTTCTAGTGTCAAAATAGCAAGTCTATTTAGCCAAGGGACCGAAAGGTAAATCGTTCACGTGCGCGGTCGTATACCTGCGCTCGGCGTCGTTTGGAGCGCGTCACTTTAATGACTCCGTAGGGACATTTAGACTTCGAATTTCAACTCACGGCTTTGGGAACATATTCTCCAGATGTTAAATGAATTTTCTAAGCAATAAAAAAAATATGAAAAAAATGACCGTTTACTTGACCATCCCCCCTTAAGAACGCTTGCTTAGCTTCCGCGAATGCCTTTTCACAGTCTTTTGACCAAGTAAAAGTAATGTTCTTTTGTAACAACTTGTTTAATGGGAAAACAATCCGACTCAAATTTTTGATGAACCTACCGTAATAGTTTATTAAACCTAAGAAACTACGCAATTCTGTAACGTTTTGTGGTCTTCTCATTTGGCGAATTGCCTTCATCTTTTCGGAACATTTGTGTACACCGTTTTTGTCTATAATATAACCACAATACTGTACCCGATCTTTCGCAAATTCGCTTTTACCAAAGTTGATCTTCACATGATGCTTCTGTAATCGACTTAACACCTCCTTTAGCTTTTGCCAATGTTCCTGCTTGCTCTTACTGCCAATTCGGATGTCGTCTAGATACACCACTACGCCTGGTATATCATGTAATATCATTTCTATGGTTCTTTGCTAGATTGCCGGCGCGCTCGCGATTCCGTACATGAGTCTTTTACATTTGTACAATCCTCTATGGGTATTTAGCATTAATAATTCACAATCTTCTTTCCTAACTTCGAGTTGTAAATATGCGTTTTGAAGGTCGATCTTTGAGAAAATTGTACATCCTTCCATTGAAGTAAATAGTTCATTTGTTGTCGGCAATGGATGTTCGTCTACAATTAAATTTGGGTTCAACGTCACACTAAAGTCTCCGCAAATTCTAACTTGATTATTTTTCTTTAATACGGGAACGATGGGGGTTGCCCATCTAGAGACGTTAACCTTCTCTAAGACACCTTCATTACATAAGCGATCTAATTCTTTATCAATCATTTGAACCAATTTGAAAGGAACTGTTCGTGCTTTGTGGAAAACGGGACGTGCGCCTTCCTTCAAATTCAGTTCCGCATGTAAACCTTTGATCTTTGAGCTTTTCGGATCTAAATTTGCTTCGTAATCCTTAATGAGTAACGCAACTTGTGAATTTATTGTACTTTCAATCGTATTTATTGAAACGCATTTTTGATAAACTTCTGCAATTTTAGGCATATTCTGTAATCTGTAACTCCATTCCCGCCCCAATAGCGGTTTACACTCACCCGGCGTCAAAAATAAGTCTAAAGATATTTGCTTATCTCTACTTTTCACATTTACTTCTACACGACCCAGTGACAACTTTAGATCCGATTTACGAATGGTCAGACCTGGAAATATTTTTCGCGCGTTTACTGTGCCAATGACCGATACCGCAGCTCCTGTGTCGATCTCAAATTCTACGGATCGATCGTTTACCTGAAGAGTCGTTTTAATTTTTTCTCGGGCCTTATTGTGGTCCCCACTGAGATTCAAGACTTCGTCAAGGTGGTTTGTTGATTGCTTTGCTTGGAAACACACCCGTTGCAGATGGCCTGCCTTCCCACAAGCGTTGCATCGTACATTTTGGTTTAGGGTGCATTTGGATGCCAAATCTTTTCCGCATCTGTAACATTTAGGTTTAAAATTAGAACTTAAATTATTTGTCTTGGGTGCCTGACTTTTCGGAACCAACGCTGAACTGCCTGCGGCTTCTTGTTTCTTAGGATTCTTCTTGTACTGGGATTTCTTCACCGCTACTATGTTGATGCTGGCTGAATCTCCCTGGAGTTCCAACATCCCTTTTTCTGACAATTCCATTGTCGTTGCTATCTTCAATGCTTTATCCAGATTTAAATCTTGAATTTCCAAAAGTCTTGCTTGTGTTCTTTTGCATGACAAGCCGAAAACGAGTTGATTTCGTAAAGCTGTAGGCAGGTAGTTCCCGAAATTGCAATTGATGCTTAACTTCCGAAGAGCTGCCATGAAATCTTTGACTTCTTCCCCTTCCTTTTGTTTCCTTTGGTGGAACTTAAAGTTTTCTGCTATTTCCAAAGGCACAGGAGCGTAAAATTCCTTTAGAATTCCTTTTAGATTTTCGTACGGCTTAGCGAATGGATCGTCAGGTGCAAGACGATCGCATAAGATGTCGAATGATGTAGCGCCCACATAATGTAAGAAGTACGGCACTCTATCCTCTCCCGTAATTCCGAAAATTGAAAAAGCACCTTCAAGGCGTTGTTTCCATCGGTCCCAATTCTTTGTAAGGTCGAAAGGCTCGATAGAGAAGGTACCTGGTACTACTTTTCGGTCTGCTTCGTTCGTAGCCATCTTGTGCGTTGTGGACGTTTCCGACGTAACCGCTAAACGTCTCGTTACCAAGAAAATACTGATTTTGGTGATCCTCGTCGCCAGTTGTTGTATTCCTTCCTTCAGCGGAGGGATCTCAAAGGGTTCTTTGATACAGGGCTCACAAGATGGTCTGATTTAAGGCAGTCTTTATTGTTTCTTACGGAAAAATATCTCGTTACACTCGCTACTACTGGCGATCGGGAAAGAAGTGCAGAGCGCGTGCGAGGCCACACGGAACGCGCGTTCCCACACACGAGAGCCCTCTACCGTTCGCAATACCTCAGGCGGGACATATAAACTCGCTACTCAACAAAAACCAATACCTCAACGAAGATATATCGTGTTCTATCAAAAGTAAGATAATTGATGCAGGAGGAGGACGGCACTTGAAAATGACTCGCACACTTCTACACGAGCCATCGGACGTGCCCCACAAATAAAATATATCATAAGGAGCATAGAATTATTAAGAAATAACTCAAATGGCACCCATTCAAAATATAAGTCAAC